GTTATTACGCACACAATGCTAGCTATACGATGGGCTATTTGTTTGTTATTACGCACAAGGCTAGCTATATGATGGGCTATTTGTTTGTTATTACGCACAAGGCTAGCTATATGATGGGCTATTTGTTTTGTGCCCACATTGTTATTACGCACACAAGGCTAGCTATACGATGGGCTATTTGTTTTGTGCCCACCATAGTTTTTGAAATCTGATTTTTAATGTTTTATAAGCCTAGAGACTTACCACTGAGCCACATGGGAGCCAATAACAAAAGAAATTTAACACTCACACTTGTTAACAGCAGACTTTTATAAGTAACACTATTTAACAACACAAATACTATATGCTTACTCTCAGAGTTTCAGTGGTTTTTGTTTTTCCAGCTGATCAGCAACACATCTGTCAAAATAATCCCACAAAGTAAGATGGGTAAAAAAATCTTAAAAGTTAAAGTGTAGGTATGTGTCTCTAACGGCATGTTCAGAACATGGGTGCCTGCAGGAAGAGGCAAGAGGGGGCATTTGTTCCCCTTACATTTTACAAAAAATTGTATGTATTATGATGTAAACTTAACACTGTAATTAAACTACATATTTTTAGTATTTTTTATTAAAACTGTAAATTTGTGTTTAATCACACACAACACATATTCTTTTAGCCTGTTGACTTACACTGTAAAAGTTGATCCCCTATATATGCTTTGCCCCCATCCCACTTGAAAATATTTCTATGGTTCAGAAAAAGGGAGTCTCTTGTAAAGTTCAAGATTAACCATAAAATGTAGTTCAATTATTAATTATTACTTTAAAACTGAGTTCAGGATTTTCAACAGTTTCAGTAAGCAACCTATGAATATATTATAGATTTAAAGCATGTTTTTATAACTTTTTCTGTCTATTTGATTCTTTATTCTCATGTGCTAGCCCAATTCTTAAAACAATAACTTACTCAGTATTAAAATTTAGTCATGTTTTATATTAGAATAAAAATTATTGTTTAAAACATGAGCTGTGGAAGAAAGGCAGAAGACTTCCAAAACATAGTCAAGTAGCCATCCATTTAACGATTAACTCGATAATGTTTAAAAAATTTTACTTAGTTTACAATGAAATGCAATATGGCTGTGGCGTAAGTGAAAGCTAACCATTTTGATGATAATGATTCAAATACAAAAAGTTTTAATTTTCATTTACATTAGGCCTAATCTAATCAACTTAAAATCCTCACTAATATTGAAATGACTTAAAATTTAAAGCTCACTTTACAAAATTAATGATAATGTTAGTAACAACATACAAATAAATATATATAAAAAATATATCTGTAACAATCAGATTTAAATTGCAATATAAACCAACTTGGATAATTCATTTACTTGACAATGAAGTTACAGTTGGTTTCCTCCAAGATGGCCTTTTCAGACATAATATGTTGCTGCTGTCTTGTCTCCACTATCTGTCGTTTCTTCATCACTTTCAGGGCAAAAGACCTGGATGAATCGTTACCTATTCTGACCTAAAACCCAGTTACATGTTATTCAAACACACCTATTGTTCCATCATCTAAACTAAACTAAAACTATTAATAAATACATTTTTAAAAAATCTTAAACCCAACCCTTGTCATTTATGTACTTATCAACTTTCTCATAAACTCACTTAAATTTACTGCAACCACAACATCTTAAGGCAACCCATTCCAGAGGCCAACCACCCT